GTTAATCATTACAATATTTGAATAAGTTAGGGTCATCACAATAAAAATTTTACGCATCGCTTAAAAATTTTCTTTTATCTTCTATACTCTAGTAAGTTGACAAAAATCCTAAAGCAAGAAAATTGAGATTTTTATCATACCAAGGCATTGAACTGAGAAAAAGTAAGGATTCATCAGGAAAGTAATCATTGATTGGTGTGATGTTAGATGTTGAATCTATTGTCACTTTTGACAAAAGATCCGCATCAATATTTTCAGTGCATTTTTCATCCGTGATTTCTTTCTAAGAATAAATCATTTATAAATCTTCAGATTTATCCAACTTATTTTTACTTAAAGTAGATTTAAGTTGATCATAAACTAATTCCTTAATATGATCTACTTCTTGTAATTCATTATCATCTCCAAGTTGCTTGTAAATATTGAAAATATTCATCTCCAATGTCATGTTTCCAAATAATAACTTTATCACTCCATTCCTATAATTAATCAATGCATTTGAAGTTACAAGAACCAAACTTCCTAAAATAACAGGAAATGAATTACATGCTTCAACAGGTTGTGTGTCCAAGACAATAAAATCCACAAGATAAATGAATTTATCAACTTGTACCAGCACATCCTTGATTATTCCTCTTGGCATTTTTATAGATCTATCAGCAAGTAAAAGAGTTAAAGAAGTTGGTTTTAACTCACCTAGATTGAGACTCTAAAAAACCAAAAATGGAAGTAAATTCACACTAACTCCAAGATCAAATAAGACTCTTTCAATTTTATGTTCTTCAATAAAGAAAGAAATTATAGGACAACTAGGGTCTTTATATTTCAAAGCATTATTGTTTTGAAGAATGACACTTACTTGTTCGACTGAAAAGGCTTTCTTTTTCATATTCAATTTCCTCTTCATAGTGCATAGATCTTTTTAAAATTTAACATAGGAAATAACATATTTAATAGCATCTAGCAAAGGTATATTGATCCTTACATGTTTGAAAGTTTCAAAGATTTCAGAGTTGTGATTAACTTTTCTTTGCTTGGTCATGGCATGACGAAATGGAAGTGTTGGCAGGGAATCAATCTTTTCTTTGCAATTTTCATATTCAACCTTTTCCTTATCCTTAAAGATTAACTTATTATCTTTCTCACAAGGTTCAAGAATTGATTTTTCAATAACCTTACTACTATGAAGAGTAGTGACTAATTTGACTTAATCCATCTATTAACTTCCAGAACTACTTGCATTTGCAATATATTACCCCTTGGGATTTTGCTGTGGTTGAGATGGAAACTTACCTTTCTCTTGAAAACCGAGAGCATATGTAAATTTTGCAAGGGTATCTTTAAAATTTGTTATTCTTTGAGCAAGTTAAGTTTATCTCTTGCTTTTCAATGAATGCATACAAAGTTTCCTCATAATTTCTTCTAAGAGGTGGAGTATAAGAAGGTGCATATCCATGAGAATTTTGGAAATTATGGTGTGCTCGAAACTGTGGTGGTAAAGTTTTTGCATTGTCACTCTTACAACTGAAATTTTAGTAATTTCTCCACCTATAGTTATATATTTGTGAGTATGGGTTATGATTGGGCCTTTGAAAACTATTTAAAGCATGAGCCTGTTCATGGAGACATTCCTTAAAAGAATGCAAGGTTGAACAATCATTGGTTGAGTGTTCATTTATTTCATAGATTTGACACGTAATGTCTTGAATAGATTTTAATTGACCACTCTTTTTTAATTCTAATACCTCAACTTCTCTAGCTAAAGATGCAAACTTGGCTTGGAGGTCATGTTCTTCCCTAAGGTTGTACATACCTTCACTAGATGTGTGAGGTTACTTAATACCTCACACGAGCTTGTGGTGTCCTAATTTTAAGCATTTTTAGCTAACAAGTCTAAGTATTTCATTGCTTCATTAGGGTCTTTATCTTGAAAGGTTCTATTGCATATTAATTCAACTATTTGTCTATCTTAGGTGTTAACCCTTTATAAAAATATCAAACTAATCTTCATGTTTCAAAATCATGATAAGGTCAAGTATTAAAGAAGTCTCGATACCTATCCCAATATTGATAAAATATTTCTTCTGGTTTTTTTAGTGAAAGTGGTGATTTGCCTTTTGAAAGAGTTTGTTCTATGAGATGGGAAAAACATTTTTAAAAAACTATTGTTGCATTTCATTCTAAGCACAAATGGATCTAGGTCTCAAGTTTTGTAGCCATGTTTTAGCTTTATCTTTTAATGAAAAAGAAAAAAATCTTTAATCTAATTGTGTTCATGTTACAATTTGAATTAATATATCTGTTGTAGATACAAGTATGGATTTTCTGAATTAAAGCCATGACAAAAAGTAAAAGTTGAATAATACCTAGCTTAAAATTAAAATGAAATGCATCAGAAGGGAAAACTATGTATGATAGTACACTTATTCGTGTGGTCTATAAGTGTTTTAAAATGATTATTCTCATTATTGTCATTATAAAGTGATTGATTATCTTCTCCGACTATAAAGTCTACCACTTATTATATGTAAGCACACTCTTATGCATGTGTAGGAATAAAATAAAAGGAAGAAGAAAACAAAAGAAGGAGAAACAAAGTTATATACAAGAAAAGTGAAAAGAGAAAATCAAATAAATACTATCATTTGTACAACTTACTTCCTAGGTAGCAACGCCAAAAACTTGACACAACCAAAAGATTCATGTCTTCTCCAAAGTGCAAGAGTATCAAAGTAATAAATAACCCGACAAGACCAAGGTCGAACCACATGGAGGCTAATTATATAAATTATAAATAACAATAATATAACAATAACAATAACAATAATAATAGTAACAATAACAATAATAATAGTAGTAGTAGTAATAGTAGTAGTAGTAGTAGTAGGATAACAATAAAGAAAAAGAAAAAGAAAAAGAAGTTGATGAGAACTTTGAGATGGAAAATTAATGTAATGATTAAACAATGATAACAACAAATATCAAGGTTAAAGGATTTACTAATGGTATATCGAACAAGTATAAACTCTTATTATTTAATTGAAAACCACACATAAAGGAGGTTCCAATCAGATTATAAATTATTAACATGATTACATTAGTTATTTTATTCAATTAATGCTAATACTTGTAAATGTTGTTAGGCTTTCATGATTATAACTTATGTTAACAATAAATCCAGTTCTTTTCATAGCTTAGGTGCTGATTATACCATACAGTATGGGCTATGAAAGTATTAAGCATTTGTTGTACCAAGTGTTATATAATATAAATCTAGATTAGTTATTTAACAATCAAAGCATTAAAGAGGGAACAAAATAACAAATACAAAACATGTTAGTATGAAACATTAAAGTCCATGTTAAGTATTAGTCATTTAACAAGCAAAGTATTAAAGAGTGAACAAGATAACAAATATAAAACATGTTAGTATCAAACATTAAAGTCCATATTAAGTTTACACTATACTTATTCTTACACCATTAGTGTAACCTTTTCACCTTGACATAATAAACCTAGCTAAACATAATGAAAGAAAAAAAATAAGAACTTAAATAAGATAAAAGTTAACTAAGTAAAGAAAAGGAAATAAAAGGCATAAACTTGATATTAATAAAAGTATAAAAGTAAACCATAAGCAATAGAAAAAATACAAAGAAAGAAAGCAAGTGTATGATCTTAATCTAGATATCAAGATGCGTAAATGCATGACAAATTCCTTCTTTTATAGGTTAAAATTGGAAAATATTGATTTAATAACTAATTGATGAGTGGGTAGCCAACTCTTGACTTGGTGGTCAATCCTTATCTTCTTTTGTCTACCCAAAATATCATTGATAACGTTAGAATTGGAATCACATAAAAACATGAAAGTTATAGAAAATTGTCTCAGGATTCCAGAAAAAATAAATGGAAGTCATTTGGACTTCTAAAATTCTAGATATGGACCAAAAACTAAACAGTGCGCGAGTTGTAGTACAAATTCAAACTTCTTTGTTACAAATTGAATAGTAGCCTTTTTAAATCTTGAACTCTATATGAAAGTTGTAGACCTATGTCTTACTTTTTTATTCATATAAAGTAGACCTAACTCCGAGATCTACAGCTCTAGATATGATCCAATTATCGAATAGTGTTCCGGTTTGGACTGCACCAACATCTCTTTTCTAAGTTTGGTCATCTCTTTGTCCTTTCAATTTCAGTTCTTAAATTCATCAATCAATCATTTTATTTATATGATAGACCTGTATTTAAAATAAAAATTTACCACAAATTAAAGGTATCTTATATTATTAGATATGTTATTATAAAACATATTTTATTTAAGGAGTTATTAATACTTCAAGTGCAAAATAATGACATAAAATCTTTATAAAAATCTATTTTTAAGTACTAATATGTCTCCAAAGGTTTTATTGTTTTTTCCTATCTTTTTAATTCAAAATATTACATTAATAATACTAATTGAAAATAAAGATAAATGACTTTAAATAAGTAAAATAAAATTTTCAACCTTCACTCAAATTAATTACCTCAATACATAATAATGCTTAATATTGAAATATTATTTATTTTTTATAGTTTTTTATATTTTATTTTTTAAATTTTATTTTTAATATCAATATATTAAAATAATTTTAAAAAATATTAACTTAAAACCAAAAAAATTAAAATCTAATATCAACTACGTTATAGTTTTTTATATTTTATTTTTTAAATTTTATTTTTAATATCAATATATTAAAATAATTTTAAAAAATATTAACTTAAAACCAAAAAAATTAAAATTAAATGAATAATTAGATAAAAAACACGACTTGAATGTAAAAACAAACATAGCTAAACAATTGAATTTGGAAACAAATATAAAATGCATTCAGTCATGCTGAGAGAGAGGTATTGAGATTTAAGACTATTATTTTAAAAGGACTTCTACCCACCACCGTTTACCATAATCAAATACCATGAAATTGTCAAAACTCAAAGAGTAAGAAATTGGGTACTTCCTTTATGATTAAGTAATCTTGATCCCCATAACTCGATAAATAGGCATGCAGAGTACCTGGAAGCAGCACAGCACTTTAAAGTTGCTTACAAATATCCAACAGAGCAAATAGGCAGAAGTGATAAATACTTGTGATATGGCTGAAGTGAAGTTGCTTGGAGCATGGGGAAGCCCGTTTAGTCGCAGAGTGGAGATGGCTCTTAAATTGAAAGGTGTTGAATATGAATACATAGAACAAGATTTAGCTAATAAGAGCCCTTTGCTTCTCAAATACAACCCCATTCACAAGAAAGTCCCTGTCCTCGTCCACAACGGAAAAGCAATGGCAGAGTCGCTTGTTATTCTTGAGTACATAGATGAAACTTGGAAGAGCAACCCCATCTTGCCTGAAGATCCTTATGACAAAGCCATGGCTCGATTCTGGGCCAAATTCATTGACGAGAAGGTAAGACCATTAATTTCTTCAGTTATCCTTTAATTAAAATATTATGCAGCTGACCTCCTCGCTAGAAAATAAGCAGCTTATGTACTACATGCTATGATACTTGTATATATTTTAATATTAATTTTCCTTGTTTACGTAAACTCGGTACTTCATTTTCCATATGCTTCATGAATAAAAAAAGGAGGATGAAGAAAAAAATACAACTGAAATTCGGTTTTTAATTTCCCTTTCTGTAGTGTATGCCTGCAATATGGCAAATCATGTGGTCGAAAGAGAATGAACGTGAGAAGGCCATAGAAGAAGCAATTCAGCACCTGAAAACTTTGGAAAATGAGCTCAAAGACAAGAAATTCTTTGGGGGAGAGATGACACGACTAAAAGATTGATGTCTTCTCCCAAGTGCAGGAGTG